CTCTCTCTCTCTCTCTCTCTCTCTCTATGTCGTCGCTGCCTCTTCTTCTTCTTATACGTCGACGTTAGGAGGTGAACAAACACCAGAAACCCCAATCAACTGCGACTGCGCTACTCTAATGGAGGATTCTAGGGTTTTCTCCGATCCGACCCGTTCGAACCGCCTGCAAGCTGGCATCATCTCCAGAATTCGTCTCGAAAATTTCATGTGCCACAGCAATCTCGAAATCGGGCTCGGCGACTGGGTCAATTTCATTACTGGCCAAAATGGAAGTAATCTCTCTCTTTCTCTCTCTCAACACACGCATGAGCGGCAATTCACCACCACCACCACCACCATTTTTAATTAAATTTATTGCGTGATGCCGAATTGTAGGTGGAAAGAGCGCTATATTAACTGCACTCTGTGTGGCATTTGGTAGCCGGGCTCGCGGCACACAAAGAGCCAACACGATGAGAGATTTTATAAAGACTGGCTGCAGGTTATGTTTGAGAATTCAGAATAAGCATTTGAAAATGGGTCATTTTGTTTTGCACTGACAGGCTTCTCGTGTGAATTGAATTAGTAGTTTGAAGTTCAAGTATTATGTTTGTAGAATTCAAGTTGTGAATGTAGTTAGTGTGAGATTATTAACAAATTTCTGAGCATCTTCAATTTATTTAGCCTTTTTGGATTCAAGTTATGTCTACCTGAACATTTTAATTTAATTTTTGTCTTATTTCTCATAGAATGAAATATGCTTGATCTTTACTCTTTTTTTTTTTTATTTTTTTTTTCTGATTCTCTCTCTCTCTCTCTCTTTTAATTGTGTTGTATGTGAGTTAATGTGAGTTTGTTAACATTTAAACCATGATAAGCATTTTATTTTAAACAAAATGGGGGGACTGTGATCGGGAACACTTTTATCATATTTATGGAGCCATGCTGTTACAACTGTGATGCGATTTGGTTTAAATTTTCTCTTACTGGCATGACCATTCAGTGTCTTTATACAGTACTATATCGATGTTAACATTTTGAGGTTTCAATAGTTGGTATAATTTCTGTTCTGTAATCTGCAGGTGTGTGAGCACATGTACAGTGTGCTTACTTGTGATCTGTCTTTTTGTTGTCAACGGCTTCAATCCCATGTTTCCAATTCTACTTGCTTTTGCTGCTGATGTAAAGTGCTGGTCTCATGTTTGCTTTTCTGAGCTCAAATTGCTTTTCTGAGTTCAAAGTTTTATCTTCCAGATCATTTGTTATGAAGTGTCTTGGTCCCCTTCTTTAATATAGTATCTTTTTTCCTGTATTCTGTGAATTCAAGGAAACTGCTCTAATGGTGTGCATCAATCAATTTGGAGTATAATTCATGCCACTCATTTACTAAGTTTTGCATCTACACAAGGATTTTGTTTTTGTTGTTTAGAATGGCTTAGTTATCTAATTTAATTATTTGAAAATCATGGGCTGAACTTTTAGTTAGTAATTCTTTGCGTGAGTTTATTTTTTAGATCTATTTGATCATTTTTCCGCACATTTGATTAACATTGCCTACTTCTATCCATTGTCAGTCATGCACTTGTTCAAGTTGAGATAAAAAATCAAGGAGAAGACTCTTTTAAACCAGAAGTGTATGGCAGCATCATAATAGTGGAGCGCAGAATTTCGGAATCAACCAGTTCCATCTCATTGAAAAATAGTCAAGGTTCTATTCACTGGATCTTTTCTCTCCAAGTAATGAACCCAAAGAAGGACCACAATATCGTTGCAAAACGATAAGCTGTCAACCGCTTCATTAATACGTAAAAGAAATTGGTGTTCCATTTCTCTTTTTCAATCTAATAAATATCCTCAATCTCAGAAAGGTGATATGCAGAGATCATGCATGTTTGGTCTTGCTACGTGGCTGACATTTTTATCTTTTCAAATTATAAATCAACAGAATAAGTACATGGACTTTTAGTTTTGAAGCTTTATGTCTGCTGGTGGTGTTTTTTAGTTTCTTTTTCATTTATGGGAAAAATTTGAATGTCAAAGTGTATAAAAGTTATGAATGCAGAGGAAAATTTGTGGAAACCCTTCCATGATTTTTTCTAATAAAGAGTCTATGGATGTAGATAAAAAATTGTTATAACTCTTCCATGAATTTCCTAATAAAATTAATTTAGCTTCGTAGGTAAAATTGATTCCTTAAGTAAAGGAGGAAGATGAACTCCAAGCTTTGGGGTGTTAAGACTGAGTAAAAAACGGAAAATTAGTGTGGAAATATCCATGAAACGAAATAAAGCCAACTGCCTGTTATTTAATTACTCTAGTGAGATTTGCATCTTTGTTATTTTCTATTATAACTTATAATGATAAAACACTACGCTTTGACACTATTTTGTTTTGAGAACAGTGGTTCATTATTCTTTTTGTTCTTGTTTTATTAGCCTGCATGCTTCCTGTCATGAAGTGAGTTCATAGTAGTTATTCTAACTTTATTTGTTTTACCACCTTCTAAGTCAACAACCTGAAAGGAGTGGTTCCGAAGTCTTTATTAAGCCATTTAATCATATCATGATGTTTATATTATATTTTGACATGCCCCCCTTTTGTGAATGTCCTTGTTTGGACCTGACCCCTTTTCTCTTTATATTTTACCGTCTCTATTGTTCAAAGCTTACAGGTTCTTTATTTTATTACATCCTTGTGACTGTTTGCTTTTAGGTAGGAAGATTGGTACCAAGAAAGAAGATCTTCGCGAGATAGTGGAACACTTCAATGTGAGTGTTATTGAACTTCCCCTTTTATGTTTATTCTTTACTTTTGAAATAATATCACAACATATAATACCAGTACTTGACCAATATCCAAAAAATTCCCATTATCCATAATTTGTCCAATTCAACCATCTAGAATGCACTAACGCAGATATTGAATATGAGGAACAACTTAAAAAATCTAATATCCATGGATATAGAAAGCAGAAGGGACAAAGAAAAGCTTGCAATATATCTCTATTACCTTGGTAATTAGCAATGTTCTAAAAGACATTAGGCACTCGCTAGGCTGCAAGCACGACCTAGCACCCGCCACCTAGGCAGGGATTTATTTTCCAAAATATTTTATATATTCATAACTCTTGTATTACTAGTACAATACCTGTGTATTACACGGGTGTTTGTTAAGAAATATATATTTAAAAGTAAAAATAATAATAAAAAATTTGTTTTAAATTTCAAATATATTTTTTCATAAATATATTACTATTATCCAAAATAACACGTATCACTTATTTGGCTTTCCGTCTTATATTACAATAATTTTTTTTTTTTAAATTCTATCATTCAACAACTTTGTAGTAAAATTGATTTAAATAATTTTATTTTTTAATTAATATTAATAGGTAATTTAATTTTTACTATAAAGATATAATTATTTATTTATTTTGCTTGTACAATATAGATGTCAAATTGAAGCTCATCAAGACATGATTAATTTGATATATTATGTATAAATTTGATGTATAAAAAAATTATAATAAATAAAAAAATTATTAACTTGTGAATCTACTTATAATTTAAGTTAGTAATATTTTCATAATTTTAAAAGAAAGATGAAGAAAAAAGAAAGATTGAAAAAACAATTATGCCTTATAAATCACGTCTAGAATAGGAAATGATATTAATGCTCTTAAAAAGAACCATAAATATACTAGTTATTTATGGTTATTCCAAACCTAATTATTTTTGGATTCGGAGTAAATTAGAAGAATTCATTCAAGCCAAATGACAAAGCATAAAAAATTGCCACGTAGTATTATTTTTGGATTATGCCTTAAATTGCCACGTTGGATTAGACTCCACACATTCGGGAATTATATATAGGGGGGATTAAATAAACTAAAAAATGGCACTGCAAAAAATATATGGGTGCTTACGCGGCGCCTAGATTGCCTAGGTCGCCGCCTAACCGGCCTTGATGTGACTTGCTTTGTATCCGCTTGGACTACCTAGGCATTGCCTAACCCCGCCTAGATGCCAGCTAATTTCTCAAGCGCCTAGGAGGACCGATGGAAATCGGGGCGCTTGAGTGGTACCTAGCGTCCAGGCCTACCCCAATTTTTAGAACTCTGCAATCAGTGTCATCATTCCGTGTTCATGTTCTGCCTTGTTTTTGTGTTATCCATCTTGTTTGATCATAAATATGACTTCAACTCTTAAAATTTACTATTTCTTGCTGTGTTGTTGTGCATTATTGTTTGTGTTTCTAAACATTTTGTTCTACCTTATCATGTTACCTGTTGCCATCCCTAATCCATTTAGCCTGGTGTTGGTTAATTTGGTGTGTCGATGTTTCCATTTATTTGGGAAAGGAGCTCTCATGTTCTAATATGTATTTGACAATTGCACATATTTCTTTTAAGTTTTTTCATGAGATTTGGTTAAATTACTTCCTGTTTAAAGTAACCTTGTTGAAAGAGGTAGAATTTCTGCTATGATTTTATCTCTATTGCTATCTGCATCAGTTTTACCATTTTATCTCTTAAGTTATCTAGAACATATTCACATGATTTTGTGCTTTGGTAAAAGTTCATATATATGTATAGTAGCGACCGTCACGTAACGGACACATACTTTTTCGTTAAAAAATATTACAGCGTAACTATTTAGAATGCCATATGCCCATTGCATATGGAGCTGGAAGAGTCATTGTTGACAATTCTCCTGGCATAGTGCTAATAATGGACTAGATCAAAATGACTCAATTAAATTCTAGTGCTTCTTCTATTAGTGAAGTTTCTAGAAAAAAGATATATCAAACGACACAACGCACCTTGGGTCGCTATGGAAACAGCCTCCTTGTATAATTACAAGGGTAAGGTCTGCGTACAACTGACCCCCAGACCCCAACATGTTGGGAATATACTGGGTATGTTGATGTTGATGTTGATGTTGATGTTGAATTATTTACAATGCCATCTAACTGTTTTATGAAAGAAATGATTATTAGGTATGTTAATGGTATGGTAAGAAATGGTTGGTAGCTATGTTGGTGGATACACTCACTGTGAAGGGTGTATGCGATTGAAGAAAACTTTAATTGCATGACTTAGGAATTAGATTCTATGTACAAGGCCTTCATTAATCACAATAAATTTGTTTGCACCCTGCTTTGTGAACATGACCATAAACCCTAGTTGTCCCCTTTTTTTAGCGTTAGATGTATCACATTGTTTTTGGCATCTATAAATAACCCGCTTGTAAGTTTAAGGGTTGGTGTTTTAATTCTAACCATTTTTTTTCCAAATTTGGAGATAATGGCTTCTAAATTTGAGAAATGGAGGCGGGTTCTTAATGGTTAACCATGAGTTATGTCAGGATAAAGAGTTAATTGAACCTAAATGTTGAATATTAACAAAATTAAAATGATGATCACCCTGGATTTCATACTTGTTCACCTATTTTTATAGCTCAACCGCAAGTGTAGGACTTCGTTTAGAGATAGTGGCAAGCAATGTTGTATCCGTTAGAGACTAAACAATTACTGCATCAAGCACTAGTGTCAATTTGATTTAGATGAATTATACTAACTAAAAGATAAAAACTAAAATTAGAAAATTAAAGACACATGCAAACAAAAATAAAATCAAGATATGGAACTATATTCTAAGGTATGCTTTCCATAAATTCTATCTCAAGACATTATCTCAAATTCAACAAATTTCTACCCTATATGAGCAATCATGAGAATATATCGAGCCCTCTCCCAAGGCAATTAAATTGTTGATTATCTATTCATGTCAATAATTTTTGTGGTTATAGGTGTCGTTTTCTTGTGTCATTACTCCAAGTTAGTTATATCTGTCTAGGTTCAGTATCTCTTGTGCCATTGCAGATGGACAAAAAAAATCTGCCTTAATTTTCTGGTTGTGATATTTTGTTCCAGCAGTTTCATAGTTTGTCTCCACAAAGCAATAGGGTTATGATTGTTTACCCACATTTGGACTGTGCTTTGCCTATGTAGATTGATGTAGAGAATCCATGTGTGATCATGACCCAAGACAAGAGCAGAGAATTTTTGCATTCTGGAAATGCGAAAGACAAATTCAAGGTAATCTTCTTCTTCTTCTTCTTCTTCTTCTTCTTCTTCTTCTTTTTTTTCTTTTTTTTTTCTTTCAAATTTCAGTAATATATCCTTCTGATATATTGTTTGTTGTCTTAGGTTACAGTTCATTACATTGCGAAATCTCTAATGATCTTATGATCAAGCGTGATAGTGCTTGTAAGTTTTGATTATACCCAGCATGTAACGCCATGTTTACAGTTTTTTTTCAAGGCAACTCTACTGCAACAAGTGGATGATCTCTTGAAAGGTATTGAGAAGCAAGTAAATGAAGCGAAGGCAATGGTTATGCATTTAGAAGAGTCGCTTAGACCAATATTGAAAGAAATTAATGAATTGCAAGAAAAGATAAAAAGCATGGAATTTGTGGAGGAGATGTCACAACAGTTGCAGTTGTTGAGGAAGAAACTTGCATGGTCATATGTTTATAATGATGAAAATTCACTTGAAAAGAAACACAAGAAGATTGAAGAACAGAAAAGGAAAATATCCAACTTGCAAGCACAAATTGATCTGAAGCATGTAAGTTACTTGACGTGGTGCCCCTACATGACTTTTGTGTCTTTTTCTTATCTGTTTGTTTTTCTTCACTCTTCAAGCATTTTGAACTTTGAAGCATATTCTACATCATCTTTATTCCTTATTAACAACTAATGAGTAATGGGGATTGGCTCAGAGGAGCTATGGAAATTGACTGAGAGAGTGGTCAAGAGAGTATAATGGCTTAGCTTTTAGCCCCTGTATAGTTGGAGAGGGGTACAAGTGAGCTACTGAGCTATACTTCCTAGATTTGATCATCTTTCGATTTCTTTATGGAGATGATCGGCAAAACCACCTTCTACTGTGTTGTATGCTCCTT